CCCCTTCCAATAAGTTCATATTCGCAGAGATGATCACACCCAATCAGATGGCAGTACACTCAGTCAAGATGGAAGAACATCAGTCAAGATTTTAGTGACCTCTTTAGCAGCTCAGGTTTCTATTGGGTTGGCCCATGGGTCATGGGTTGTTTCCTCACTCGAAACATCGCGTAAAGATGAAAAGTTTTGCCACCGGGTTTCATACCCTATACGATAGCCATCTTAGTTTTTTTTTGTTTCTGTAACCTCTAATATTTAAGGGCTCAAAGTGAAGAGTCAGGTTGACGAAATCGAGCATTTAGACAGCCTCTCTTTGTTACTTCTAATTAAAACGCTATAACCACACAGGCCTGGTTGCTGAGTATATGGCCAAGATGTGATCTTCTCCTGTGTATCTTAAAGAGCAGAAAATAATCTATCGATTAGCCTAGAATACCTAAGCGATTTTGGCTTTTCATATAAAAATTTGGGTAAGGGAAAAACGCCGTTACTCATGGGCCAACCCCATACTTTATCTTGATAATTGTCATACCAGTCAGATTCACCATCATTCACTGCTCACTGTTGGGCCCCTCTGTCCGGAACAGTGGTGCCGCCTTTGCAGTTGTTAGGTTCCCATTATTGAGAATGACGTAGAGATTGAGAGAGCCTCTGAGCGACGGAGGCAACGTCAGGAGACTGCACCCAAGTATGACTACTCTCGTGTATTGTTTCCACGCGCGCTGAAATCCGAGCGGAGCGCTTTGCAACGGCAATCTCCAGCAGGTTCTTCCTTGCTTGCTTTATCACCTCCACTTTCAAGGGCGCATCACGGACTGTGGAATCCATAACGTAGAAGGACTGTTTTTGGGAAAAAATTTTTCAGTAGCCGATGAAGCACCTTGCGGCCCTTCAAAAGTCCCTCATTATTTCTCCTAAGTCTCAGAAACCTAAAGGAACGGCCGCGTTGACTTATGAAAATGCAAAAGGTTGTGTGGGAAGGGCAATGTGGTCCGCAATGGATAATCTCCTGCCAGTTAGCGGCGGAAGGTTGCATAATTAAGGAGGTAAGATGCAAACCCGCTTCAGTAACCCAGTGACTCCCCCCCCCCCTTTTTTTTACAGTGACTCCGCCTCCAGACCCTGAATTTGAGGTCTACTTTCAGTCAGAAGCGATGCTATCGGACAAGTAGATGAAAAAGAGTAGATGAATGCTCTACTGTCTCCTACGGGGATTGGGGCTCACCATCGGTCACTTGACAACTTCTCTTCCATTTTCAACGCCATTATTTGCGCACCTTGTCGCGGTCCGCCCTCGTAACTCTTTTCTCTCCCCATCAAGAGCTATCTCGGCTTTAACACGTTGACGACGGTGTCGGACAATGCTGTCCGACAGCATACTGCTCTAATAATAAAGACGTGCGAGCAACCAAGTTTGTTCAAAAGATGTCTATAGGAGTAGGCTGAAATTCTGAAACGAACAGCACAGTGGTTTGGCCCGGACTGCCCGGCGCCCGCGCCACAGGCGCCGGCGCCAAAATACCTTAGGTCACCAAAATCGTTGAAAACTTGTCTCGTGGGGTAGCTTGAGCCCCTGAACACGAATATCACATTCGTTTCCCGCGAAAATGCTTGGCGCCCGCCCACAGGCGCTGGCGCCAAAATACGTTAGGTCCACCAAAATCGCTGAAAACTTGTCTCGTGGGGTAGCTTGACCCCATTTACACGAATATCACAATCGCTTGCCACAAAACTACCTGGCGCCCGCGCCAAAATGTCCTATGTCCATCAAATTTCCTGGAAACTTGTCCCTACTGGTGAACTGACCCCCTAACAAAAGTATCATGTCCACTTAATGCGTTGACGAGGTCCGTCAATGGTGGACGACAGAAAGTTTGTCTTGTGGAACGCGTCTCGCCCAATGCTGTCCCACAGTTATTATGTCACTCAAAATCTGTACGATTGTTTCACTTACTTTTCATAAAATTAGTTAAAGAACA